AGCCGCATGCACACGAGGGGAACGATCGACCGGGGGGCATAACTTTTTTAGAACTCCGATATTTTTTTACAAACGAACGAACGTGAAAATTGATTTGCGCAAGGTGCATCCGAGGACGGTCGATCTCTCTCGCGTCGATGTTCCCCCGGTGTGGATGGGACCTCTCCTCAGAGGGTACGAGGCGAAATCGAGAGCTTGAAGGAGCGAGTGTGGGAGATAATAGAGACGAGACGTTACGACAAGAGATATCGAGTGTGAGACTGTATAATAATTATAAATAAATGTACACATTAAGTCCAATAAAAGATGATTCTACCGCTCTTTGTCGCTCGACTGTTGCTGGTACTATCGTCTATGGAATGACCGCGAATGATTCTACAATCCGAGTACGTTTGCGACGCTAATTAAGAGTTTCCGAATTGTCCACGCATAGAAGACAGCGGCGAGTAAGACGCAAAACTTCTTTGGTATACAAACGCGCGCGATGAGATAGGATGATGATGTGGGGTCGGGACGGAAACAAAAGAAGAACTGAAAAGAACGTGTTCATTTGGTATGGCAAAAAATTGTATGATTGACTACGATAGTAACGGATACAATCTATACGACGGTACAGTGTTGCGTTTACATGAACATGTGATCGTATCTGGCGCGCCACAGTTTCGCAGCAACAATCATAAAGATCCCAACGGATCGATTTTTTTAAACAGCATTCTTAAGACGAATTTACACATGTTTATCGACCATATCGAAGATTCCACGTCTAACGGACGTGTCGGTAAAATTTCATTTGCCGATCGACATTTTTTGAGCAGAACTTTTTCCCGCTCCGAAAGACTAGAATTCTCCTCAAACAATGTGAAACGATCGACGACTCGCATCGTCGCCGACCGGATCTTTGTTCCGAGGTATAATCAACGATCCTTTTTCCCATGCATCGCCATGCCAACTCCGATGCAATCAGAACGCGAGGATACGATCCGTAACATTCCCAATTACAAGTGTTCAATGACGATTTCGATCACTGGCGTACCGCCTACAATAAACACTAGCACCTTGGCTTGAGGCGAACGAATAAATTCTACTGGATTCGTGTTCTCAGGGTGAACAGATTGCAAACGGAGAGGGACGCTGGGAACGGTGTTCTCTACGTAACGGTAAACTTCTGCTGCGAGCGTGTACTGTGATATATTTGAATCCGGTGGACCATGCTAGTTGATTCCTTCCCCCTGCCCCGTGTGAAATTGTTGCTGCCTAAATCGAGTTGGTATGTTACAGGCGTCCTCGGTGCTTCGAGGACAGCATCATTCTTATGGAGAACATGCTCAACGAGATGCCCATCGTGGCGAGGATAAATGCACTCCTCGGGAAGTTGCGTTCGATCGCGTGTCTCCGGAACGAAGACGTTACGCCTGCCTGAAAGCATTTCGAACAATTAGGATCGATAACGATAACGGATTATCGACGGAGCTGATACGTTACATAAGATTAAACAGAGAACTCCAGAAATTGCAATTGCTCGCGGGTAGCAAAACTTTTGGCGCCGTTCGATGACGCGTGCAAAATGTTACGTAACGTGTGTACACATTGTTGAAGAGTAAGAATGCATTGGCCGTACCTGATGAAACGATAGTCTGAGAGCGTAGCTGGTGGGATGAGTGGCGAACATCTCTACGACACGGCTTTGGCTTCGTATTCTAAACGCAAAAAGAATACGGATTATGTGTTTGTTATATAAAGGGCGAGTTTCGAATTTAAAGGCGAAGGACGGGGAATGTTGGAAGTCATCCAGGGTGGACAATCGGACGAACGATCGGCTTATCGAACGATTTCAACGGCTACGCGTTCGCCTCCGGATGATAAGGGGTGCCAGCGCGAAGAAAGAAACGGTTTGCTTCTCTGATCGACTGAATTCTCGACGAACCTAGTTAAAATCGAATAATGTTAACGTCGAGCGATTTATCTTGTCATAAATGTCGGCTGCAATTTAAGTTATGTAAACCAGCTCGGATTTTATAATACAATCGACCGCGGAGAATTTTAGATGCACGATGGAACTGAATTACGGATCGGCGGTATAAATAATCGCAAATTATTCGATCGATCCCGCGACTCAATCCGGGAATCACATACTTTCACGCCGCCGGATGAAATGCGTACGCAAATCGATTTTTCAATCATTTTACGGTCTATAACTCGAACCGAGAATCGAGGTTACCGACGAGATATCGCTACAGACTAGTTTTTCGTCTGTTCAGGCCATCATTAGCCAGGCCTTATCGGAAAAGTTATCGGTGATTTTATCTGTTTTTTTTCTTTAGGTTGTGTCTGAGGAACAGGAATAATGTTTACAAATTAGTTATTTAAATAAACACGATCGATCGGTAAACGAGGGAAGCGTGAGTGGAGGGGATATCCATAGAACCAGAAAATTGATCGGCAGTATCGATTCCGACAAGTATTATGGCGCGGACTTACACGGGGCTTGCTGCAAGAGATTTTCAAACAGTTTACGCGCAGAACGTATTCTAAAATTTCTGACATCTTTATGTAACGACGCACGATATATAGTCGTCAAGCCCGGTCGGAAATTTTTCTTTGGTTCGAGTTACTGGCACTGCGTCTCATTTTACAAATTTACAGCCTAGGGTAGCAACGCCATGGTTACCACGTGACGCCGTGGCCTCCATAGTTTGTACACACATGCTTATCGGCATCGCGCCGATCGATCGTTAGCTTTAATTTTCCCTTCGATTCCTAAACGGTTTAACCTTAATCTCTACGAGAAGCTTCTTGAGCTGAAAAGTTCTCGTCTCGACAATTGATCGGATACATTTTCCTCCATAACAAACATGTACGAAGACGTAGCTTTAATGGTATGAGTACTCCGTCGCAATAAGCGAGAGTCGGTTTACGGATGCCTAGAAAAACAAGCGGTTAGACCCACCCCTGTCCAGTAGAACAGATTAAAAGGAACGTTATGTATCGAGAAAGACGCAAATCCGTTATCAAATGGATAGCTAAACTCCGTTCGAGTTCGCGTCTGCGTCTACATATTTTTATCGGACCACTGTTAACACATTGCTAACTAAAAAAATATGCTTCACGAGTACCAGACATGTCCTCGACGTTTCAATGTTACATGTCACGTAACAGTTTAAGTTTCACCATTCGATTAGACGCAGAAAATTTCTTGATCTTCGAAGAATGCACTGCGCGGTTAAGGTAACCTATAAACCAAGGTAACTTACGATCGTCTTTCCAATTGTCCGTGTCATTTCGATGGAGAACACATTCGGGAGAAACATTTTCTAGCCAGAATTTGGAGGAATGGTAACGACAGTCGGTTTTTAAGTGAAATTTTTAAAAACAAATCCCTTTCGGGATATTCGAGAACAGCGGCGGTGCATTACTGTTCAGGGTGGTCGCTTACGTAACGAATAACGCTGTCGTAGCTCGTAATAAAAGAGAACAGCAACGGTTTTGATTCATTTTTCAAGGAAACATGCGATTTAGCGTGATAAACATACCGTTCTGCGCGAAACTTGCCGACAAAAGAGACAATCACCGAAGGCGCGTGCTCCCTCGTTCGTCGTTCTCTTAACACCACTGTTCGATTTTTCGTTTCCGACTAGCCTCGTGGATGCACAGCGCCATCTTTAAACAGGTCGCTGCACATTGTAGCGAAATTAACGCTGGAACTAAGGTGACTGCACCAGCAGTTGACCAGTTAATCCCTTGTCCTACAACGAGTGAGACTCGTGATGATTTTCAACATGATTCAACAAATACATGTATTACTCGGTTCATTCGAATTCAAAGTAATTATTCCTCTGTAATCAACTATTATATTTAAATGGAAATATAGGCATAACATGTGTTTAGAATTCTTCCCTTTTTCCAATAAATTATTAATGAAAAAGTAGCCGTATCGATCAGAGTTCAGAAAGAAATCATAGGCCAAGGGGTTAAGAAAATTTTTATTACACCTTTATTAAACTTTTATTGAATAGAGAGAGTCTACGCGTGAAAATGCTGTTTGAACTTCTTACAGTATGCAACATAACTTTTTTGAAATAATTGTATAAATTTTTCAGACATTTCTGAAAATTCAATATTTACGTCAGAAGTTGATTATACTTAAAAACGAGAAAAATAGTGATTGACCGTATGTTAGTTAGTAAGGTGACCGCTTATAAAACCAAGAACACTGAAGATAATTATTTTAACTTAACAACGTTAATGAAAGAAATCGTTAGTTTTTACAGTAATGAATTTCATTCAAGTAAAAGGGTTTAGTTTTGAAAATCTTATTCTTTACGTTGTCCTAAGACATAGTCAACTACTGATAACTGGTGAATTACTGGTGCCTTTACTTTACCGAGCATTTAATACAATTAATATGTAATCCCTTTAAAAACAAATTATAACAATAGATTTCAGTTTCTTCAGACGTTCATTATACTCGAGTGAAACTATTTATTTTCAAAATTATTTCGAATATTCAGTGCTTTGATATTACTAATTCCAGAACAAAAAATCGAAACCGGTCATTTTGACCGGTAGTTCTAGTGTTTATATAACCATACGTCGGTAACATACACGTGTTACCATCAGATGATATTCTCCAGTGTATTTTATCATTATTGCCCGTTCATAGATGTCGCTGTATAACATTTTGTTAGTATAATTTTGCAGGTTTCACCTTAAATGTTTTTTATTGCAAATAATACCATCGAAAGTTGTAATTGTTTAAAGGTACGCGATTCGCTGCGTTTCATTTTGAAATGTAACATCGATTACTTCCTTTTTCCGAGTAACAGATGATACGAATCATTTTGCTGTATAAAACATAGATTATTTATATTCAGAATATCTTCTGCAAATTAGCTTACGTGTATTTAATTACTTTTCCTATTCCCCCGTTGCCCCTGCTCGTTTTCCTGTTACAGTTTCTTCAAGAGCAATTACAAGCGTGGAATATCATACGGAATTAGTTATAGCTGCGTAATGACGTATCCGCGGACTTATCAACGAGTCATTTCCGTGAAATCGTTCAGTACTCATTCGTTCGATGCCGTTGTCATTCACTGTCAAGTCGGTGGATTTTTCTTGATTAACACTAGGTTTGCGGGACGCGTCGATTTCACGCGTATTGAGTTTCATAAAAAGATTATTTAGTAAACGCTCGCGTCGTCTTTGATCGATGCAATTACACGAACGTGCAACCGTCTATTTCAAAACCTCTGATATCCGAGATCTAAATGAGCCAACATCGATTCCTCCGGCAACAATCGAGTGAGCTGTACAATAAATGCCCGTAAACCTACCGTTAAAAGTGTGCTCGATCCGCCGCTCGTTACCATCGATCGAAGTCACGTCCAGTTCGACTAATACGCGACGAACATGCAGGGATCAGTGACGTTAAACAAACATTTTTTCCGCACCGTTTCACCAGCGATCGGAAGATCCGCTTGAACGGAAGAAATCGTTGCCCACTGACGCACCGTGATTTTGTTTTATCTCGGACTCATTTCCGCGCGATACCGCAATATCCTTTCGAATCGCCAGTATCGCCACACCTCGTCTAGTCAAAGGACAATCAGTAAGAAACCAGCAATGATGTGTTTCACGTTACTCCTGCTGTTCTCGATTCAACTTTTCCCGTCGATTTCCACCGAGTACAAGAACCCGGAGAGTCTCTGCTCCGCCCAGCAGAGCTGCAGAAGTTGCTTGCTGACTCCTCGATGCGTTTGGTGCGCTGCCAGGGTGATTATTACATTTTACCGTTCTAAATCTAATAACATACCTTGAATCGAATACTCAGATCAACAGGAGTGTTGCCTCTATCAGCATAAATTCATTAACGAAGGCATGCGAGATGCTGAAAATAACGTTAATCTCAAAGGTTCACTGTTATCATAAATTAATTATCGATTTCAGGTGTCCAGTCAGAGCAACAGCAGTTTGATCCGATGCACCACCAGAGAAAGATATCAGAAAGAAGGCGACCACTGGTGTCCACGATCGGACGTGATCAACGACGCGAACCAGGTGACCGTGATCACAAATCGGCGGCTGTCTTCGACGAACGGGGCCGGCGTTGTCCAGGTTCAGCCGCAGAAAATTCAGCTGAAGCTCAGACGAGGAACGTTTCACATCTGCATTCTTACGACGCCGATTCTATTCAAGGGAATCCCGGTTACATCTGAACATACTCTTTGCAGGCGAGGAACAAAACATAACGTTGAGTTACAGCCAAGCAGCGAACTATCCGGTCGACCTGTATTACATCATGGACGTGTCGTGGACCATGGAACGCTACAGGAACGAATTGTCCGAACTGGCCGGCCAGCTCGCCAAAGCGATGCAGAAGCTCACCTCCAATTTTCGACTGGGATTCGGTAGTTTCATCGACAAAGTCACATTACCCATGACCAACACGGAACCGTTGAAGTACACCGTTATTCTAAGTCTTTCCTTCCGACGCCGCTTCACGAGCTGATTAATGTACACGCGATTTTTACAGACTGCAGAATCCGTGTGAAAATTGCTCGCCTCCTTACGGCTTCAAGAATCACATGCGGCTGTCCGAGGATATAGACCTTTTCAAAGTAACGTGAAATTCTCTGATTCTTCTCGGACGCATCGTCCGATCAATCGGGTTCCTTTTGTTTCTGTTTGCACTGAGAAGAATAGATCCAACTTCTTTACTGACCGATGTTCTTTTTTTGACAGACCAACGTGAGACGCGCACGTACGTCAGGCAACTTCGACGGACCGGAAGGCGGCTTGGACGCGTTGATGCAAGCGATCGTTTGCTCGAAGGAGATCGGCTGGCGGGAACACGCGCGACGCCTTATCGTCTTCTCGACGGACTCGCCGTCTCACATCGCCGGGGACGGTAAAGTATGTCAACGCGATCGTTCGGAATCTAGAGTAGACTCCGGTAACTCGAATAATATAAATGAAAACTTTGAGACGGCAATCGTCGTGTCATTTCCATGTTTCACCTATTAACCCTTTGAACTCTAGGCTCCAACATTGCACTAGATATAATATGAAATATTTTAATGAATCTTAAAGAAACTACCCTAAAATTATTAGATTTCCCACACATCCGAATTTTGCACTGAGCAGGAAAATAAAAGATGAAGAAATGTTATAGCATAAGAAATAAAAATAGTTGCAGTTGTTGATAGATTACAAAACAACCTGGAGTGCCAAGGGTTAAGATAGTAAAATGTCTACATTAGACTCCAGTAACTCGAATAATATAAATGAAAACTTCGTGACGGCAATTGTATCATTTTCATATTTCACCTATTAACCCTTTGAACTCTAGGCTCCAACAGTGCACCAGTTATACTATTAAATATTTTAATGAATCTTAAAGAAACTACCCTAAAATTATTAGATTTCCCACACATCCGAATTTTGCACTGAGAAGGAAAATAAAAGATGAAGAAATGTTATAGCATAAGAAATAAAAATAGTTGCAGTTGTTGATAGATTACAAAACAACCTGGAGTGCTAAGGGTTAAGATAGTAAAGTGTCTACATTTACCCGTAGCCGCGTTGCGAGAACTCTCGTTTATACGGGGGTCCGTTGTTATTCACCGAAATACACTTCCTCTTATAGAGATCCATGTTAATCGCATCGTGTTCGTTTAGCTCGCCGGACTCATCGAGCCGAACGATTGCCTCTGCCACATGGACGACGAAGGATACTACACGTACTCGGTACTGCAAGATTACCCGTCTATAGGCCAAGTATACAGATTTTTCCTCGATCGACTCCGATCTTTCCAATCAACATCGCCATTGCTTACAGTAAGTTTTCACGATTGCGAGCAGATCAACAAAGTGGCGCGGAAGCACGACGTTAACATCATTTTCGCGGTCACCGAGAACGCCATGGAGTGGTACAATCTCATGAGCAAGAGGATCACCGGATCATCGACTGGAACGCTCGATAAAGGCTCCAACAACATAGTGAACCTGATCAGCGGCGAATACGAAGTAAGACGGATGAACGCATCCCCAAAGAATTTCGTGGACGAAGCGTAATCGTCGGTGCTGTTCGTAGAAACTGGTGCAGTCGGTGACGCTGATCGACGACGCGCCGCGAACGGTCGACGTCAAGTATTTCTCCCGATGCCTGACGAACGCAACCGAGCTGCAGGAGCGACGCGAGTGCGGCGGATTGAGAGCGGGGAACGTCGTCCACTTTGACGTATTGCTGAAGGTAGACCGATAAATCGGAGGTTCACGATCGTCCGCGGCCGTCGCGACGAACGCGGCCAATAAAATTCCGCGTGCCGTTCGGCGTTAAATATTTTTTCTCGGACGTAGGCGGTCGAGTGCCCGGCGAATTCCAGCGAGTGGCAGCAAACCGTACAGATAAAACCGAGCGGCATAAACGAGAGCCTGACGATCGACTTGAGCATCATATGCGGCTGTCCCTGCGACCAACCAGGACATCCGGTGAGAGCGACGAATGCGCGATAGCTCGCGTCGCCCGTTCACACGTTTACTACGAAAAGCTTCAGTTACGCGTCGCTCATCTTTTCGCAGCGAAGACAAAGACGAACAGTCAATCATTCGGTGTCGCGGTTCTTAACACTTTGCCGGCCGCACATTTGTCGCGTCGTTAGGTTGGCGCGGGCGAGTATGACGCAGGAAGGCAGCAAAAGACAGTTTCAAACTAACAGAAGCATCTGCTTATAAGATTTGAACAAAAGATCTGGTAAATTGGGGAGAGAGAACAGTGGAAGCAATTGTTTCTAAAAATAGCATCAATATGTATTCCTAGCATACGTACAGTGGCCGATAACAGCTGGCGGAAAGAAGTCACGTGTACATGACAACGGCCGGTAAAGTGTTAAGCTACCCTGTTATCTAGTTGCACGCTGTTGAACATTATTATCAGCGACAGTTAGCTTGCAAATTATAATTTCGAACCTCCAGTTATCGGAGGCCATCGCGGTCAACGTTGACATCGTGTCCACGTTGCTGGAGGATCGTTTGCACCTTTCTGACGCGTGTCGAATGAAAATCGCAGGGCTACCAGCCGGGCTCGGAAGATTGCAGAGGGAAGGGCACGACGGTCTGCGGCGTGTGCGTCTGCGACGACGGCTTTTACGGGAAGTTCTGCGAATGCGACGGACACGACTTCGGCGCCGGCAGCGAGGCTGCCATCGCGGAGTGCAAGCCCGACAACGAAACCGCCGAGATCTGTAGCGGCCGCGGGGTTTGCAAGTGCAGCGTGTGCAACTGCATGAAGCGGCCGAACCCGAAGGAGATCTTCTACGGGAAGTACTGCGAGTGCGATAATTTCTCGTGCAAACGTAGCAAAGGGCTGGTGAGTGCGAATTGTTCAACCGTTTGCAAATCCGCTCGTGAGTGCCAGGTTCAGAAATCGAACTGCTCTTTTCTGTTTTCATGTAGAAATAAATGCGATCGTTCCGTTTTTAACCGCTTGAGTGTCATGGGTCTTTGCAAAATTCAGGTCGAAAAGTGCCAAGCGACGTGATCGCGCTGTTTAGAAACTGAATGACTTTTATTCTTACATACAAAAATTCTGAATAGTGTGATCGTTCTATTTTTCCATTTCTAAGCAGATAGTAACAAATGAAAGTAAATAATTAGAAGGGAAAGAAAGAAAATTCGATTCTACGAACATCGCGCCGTGCCGTAGTCCAACGGTTAAGCGAGTAATGAACAAATAGAGATAATTAATTAACCCTTTGCACTCCATAGTCACCTTCCAGCTGCCACTCGATTTGGTATAGTAAAATTGTGAAGTATAATATTTAATGTCAATTTTTGTGACATGTTCAAACAGCCTCTTTCTTTATGTACGATTTCGCGTTAAGTTAGTTTCAAGAAATCTTGACTGTATTTCGTCAGAAAGTGCGTCGGGTATTTTTGGTAGAAAACTCTTGGAGTGCAAAGGGTTAAAAGGAGGAGGAATGAATATACTCAGTTCGATTCTACGAACCGACAGGCTGCTTATAGGCGGTGCAACGGAGAAGCGCGATCGCTTCGTTAGGCGATTGATATCGAAGCACTTAATGCGACTTTCGAGACACAGAGCGTCGCGCGCGAGAGTTTTGCACCCGCATGTCTGCGAAAGTTCTCCGGCAGCTAAGTAGTATCTTTATGTAACACGGAATTTTCCGTAATGGACACGTGTGACAACAATGTCGTCGATTGTTGCGTGTCCTATCAGATAGGGGCGAGCGAGCGTCTCGTAAAGTTGTCCCCGGGACGCGTTTATTCGCGACGGAACTGCTTAAATAATTTCCCGTTTAAGGAAACCTGCACGATGTCCTCCGGGGAGGACGGCGGATAAATTATACGCGTGTCGCGCGGATATTCTATTATTCCATCTGTCGTCGTGCTTGCGTTTAAGGTTTGCAACGATAAAGGCAAGTGCGAATGCGGTACTTGCGATTGCATAGCGGGATGGAGCGGCGAGGCCTGCGACTGCCGAGAGACGAATAGCACATGCTTACCACCCAAGATCGGGGAGATTTGCAGCGGACACGGGGACTGCGTCTGCGGTAGCTGCCAGTGCCACGAAAAGGACGGCGTTCGATACTCGGGGAAATACTGCGACCACTGTCCCGTACGTCTCTCTTCTATTGTCTGTTCTTCTGGTCTCTTAACCAGTTAACCCTTCGCACTCGGAAGCTTTTCACTGGAAACATCCGACACTTTCCGACGAGACGTAGACGACGCTATTTGAAACGAGCTAATGAGAAAACATACCTAAATTAAGACAGAAAGCTATTTTATATAAATGTTTCATGTATTGATGCATTGTACGAAACTTAACACGTTGAATGCCGTGGGGGTCACCGGTGAACCCCAACCAAATCGAATTACTGTAGTTCATTCAATTGAACCATGATTATTTGAAAACATTTTTATATTATAAATAATGCTAGCTAATGTGGTGACATTCAGCTAGGTGAGCCTGCAATAATAACAACGAAATTCAATCAATTGATTTAATATTATATTTTTTCCATTTCGAGTACTTTGTACTATGAAATTGTGCGGCATTCGAGTAGCGAGAATAAATAGAAACGATTAATATTCAGTAGCAGAATCGTTGTTGGTGCAATAATATTCTCGTTTCTAACGTTCCCAGACGTGTCCCGCGGAATACTGCGAGGTGCTGAAGGACTGCGTCGAATGCAAGGCGTACAACAGCGGGCCTTACAGCCAGAACGGAAAGTGCGACCTGTGTCCTCACCAGATCGACATCGTAAGGAATCCGTCGATTGAACGCGGCGCGTTGCTGTAAGTTCGTGAGATTTTAAAATGGATGAACGCAGGTCGACGTGATCGAGCCGGACTCCGTCAAGGATCTCGAGATGGACGCTAAGATTTGTCACATGCCCGATGACGGGGGTTGCAACATTATCTTCAAATACCAACAGAACGACGACGCTTCCAGGGGAGACATTAAGATATTCAACATTCTCGCTCAGAAGGAGAAGATGTGTCCCGAACCTCTCAACGTTTTCGGTGAGTGAATAGCATTTGCGGGCGGTTTCACGCGCAACGCGACGATTTTATCTCCTTTTCGCAGGCATCGCGATCGGACTGGTCGCGTCCACGGTGTTCTTCGGTTTCCTAGTCATTGTCATCTGGAAGGTATCAACGATGATATACGATAGGCGAGAATTCGCGAAATTCATACGCGCGCAAGCAGTCGAGAGCAAGGTAAAGAGCTTTCGTCTTATGTTGAATTGTGACGGTTTAGCAACATTATTCACGTAACGATTCTACGGTTGATTTAGGGGGATAATCCATTGTACAAGCAGGCCACGTCCACCTTCCAGAACCCCACGTTCCGCGGGACTGCCAGGGATTAACCCTTCAACTGTGCTCGAAGAGTTAACTCGTCATGGAATCTTGAAAGCGACGCGCGTAGATTTCAACCCCTTGAACTATGACTCATTTCGCGATCTTCTTTCGCGTGTACGTTTGCTGCAAAGGCTAACGACTGATAACGGGAAAGTATTTAATTTATCTTCAGAAGGAACAAATTACAGTTAGATTTGTGAAATTCAGTTGAAAATTCTCGTCACGAGACCGATGTCATAGTACAAGGGGTTAACGCGATACGTATGTACCGTGGGCGTGACGAGTTATCTCGTCGCATTTAGCAAAGCTGCGCGTTTGAAAGATTCAACTCGAACGGGAGTGAAATGAATTCTCTGGAGGAGAATTTCGTTTCCGAGGTGACTTCCTGGGAAGAAGAATCCGGCCTCGCAGGAGGAAACGAGACGCGACAGGTAGCGCCGCGGCAAGCCCGCGAAGCGAAGCAACCGGGACGCCATGTTACTTAATTGCTGGCCGGCGAGAAGAAGTCCGTTCGACGAAAAGCATGTTTTTTCTCTCCTCCCTTTAATCCCGCGTCACGCGAATCCCGCCTCCCTCCGCGCCCCTCCCGAGAACCGTTCCCGAAAGCGCCTGCCTACGTGGCCCATTATTCCGTTACACGGAAAATCCGCGTCGGCCTCGGTGAAATACTCCAACGGGCGATCCGATCGAGGGATTCCTTTAGAAGCGAGCGGCAAATGAACCCTGAACAGTAAAAACTACTTTAGCGTACCGGAAGATAACGACTCCGCGGCCAGACGTTCATGGCCCGAGAAAATAAAACGGGGATATTTATTGCATGAAACGCGAGTTGTTCTATTTAAACAATTTCCCCGTCCGACTCGGCTGCACGAGCGCACGGGGCCATTAGGCTCGTGCAGGCGCGGGTCGAATAAATCGTTTCCCGAAATGTCGATCACGGCGATTCCCAATCTGGTTTCCGTCTCTATAGACAGCAGGAAGTTAGGATAGAACGCGGATCGGGTAGCGCGAGAGGGCGGCCGTGGAAGGCATAGAGGGGGGTGAGGAGCCGAAGGTCGGCTCGCGATCACTCATAAATCAATTTTAAATTCGATCCCGGGATTTCGCGTGGAGATAGGTCCTGGCCTCTCGGGCCGATTGTTTCGAATATCCTCTGGCCCCGTACTTTATTGCTCGCTACGCTCGAAGAAGGCAGCCTCGTAAGGAGCTCGTAAATTCGTCACCATAGTCGGCTCCTGCTGCAAAACCCTGCGGCGATTCGCTATATTTCCCACCAGAAACCTAAAGCTCTACCCACATTGACGATCAGTCCGCCCATTCGACTTGATTACCCGACATCGGTGCTGGTTTTACGGACGGAATTCCTCCGATTCGAGTACCGATTACCCAAGATTCCTGGTATTCATCGTAATTGGTGTAGATGCATCGAATGTCCCGGCTCGAAATGGTTGTACAGTAAACGGGGTTTTTTCCGATGCCGCGTATTGTTTCGCTGACGTAGACGTCGTTGCCCGGCCCCGTCATCAATCATGATCTCCTTAACGCCTCGTAAACCTCGGGAACGCGACGCTTAAGACACGCCACGCCTCGCGCTTGCTCTCTCGCGTTCGGATCGCGGCTACGGTAGTCATCGATAAGGGCTCGCCTTTTACCGTGTACGTGTCTCTCTGTGTGTGCGTGTGTGGGAGATCTCCCCGATGTACGCTTACGGGATCACCGGGAACGCGTGCATCCTGTTTCGGGCTGCGAACGCGCGTCGCGGAAACAATGGCGGGCAACATTTCAAGAGGTTGCTACAAATTGCATACACACAGGTAGTCGGCCGCGGGTGTGGGTAAGAGCGAGCGTTGCTCGTTTTGTGGCCGGCCACGAACCGGATCAACGATTTCGCGAGGCGGACCGACCGGCCTCGTAGTCGGGCCTTAAGGATAGCTCACCGGAGGAAGGAGAGAATAGCGGAGCCGGTCCGCTCCGCATACTAAATCACCGCCGCACGTCCGTTTCTTTACATTGCGCAGATTTTATTGATTATTTTACGGCCAGGAACATTGTAAATCTCTTCATCCTGTATCGGCGTTCCCTCCACCCCCCCCTCGCTCCCCGGATGCTCCCGCCGGACGCCGGTACCGCCAATTACAACGGTCGCGCTGCATTGTCGTCGCGTACGCTCTCCGATCTGTCAGTCCCCGCGGAGTAAGCGTTTACGCTTGTCGAATTTCGAATCGGCCCCTCGACGGGGCTCGTAAACGTTGCTTCGGCCCCGGCGGTGATCGTCCTTTTTTCTCCCGCGCCGCGACCGCAGTCGCAACAAAGTTCTCGGACGCGCGGCTTTTCGGAATGCTGCCGGATCACCGGGGCCCGGGACAACAAGACCAAAACGGGCGCGGCCGAGCCGCGGAGCCGGGGATCGGCAGATGAAATTACGAACCGCTCGGAAAAGGGTAAGACAGGATCTTTGCGCAATTTGATATACGCGCGGAACGGCGCGGCGTGGCTCCTTTCGCCCGCGGAACAATGTTGTTCGTTTTCGCGGTCGCTAATGGCCGCCGCCGGTGCCTTAATTACAACCAAATACGGGCCAATCAGCCCTCGGGGGCCGGCGGTGCTGGCCCGTTTCGAGCTTTCGAGCCGTCCGGCGTATTGTCGGATCCGAACCTCTCCGCTGCCCTTCTTTCCTCCTCGCTCTGCATCCATCGCGAGCCGTATCTCGGGCATCGGGCGCATTGGCGTCGCCTCGCGAGGTCGTTCGCGTTCAATAGCCGCGCGCGTTTTCAAAGAAGAGATCGATTGAGAAATCAGCGTCGCTTGTTGACCTTTCGAGCTTCGGAACTTCGTCTCGATCGACGCGTTCGCTGGTCACCGATAACGTGCAGCTTGCAAATTGCTCGAGAACAATTGCAGGAAGATTGTTATCGGTCGATGGAATCTAGTGGCGGAAACACCTAGATCGTAACGCAACGCGAGAACTATGCTACCGAATGGTTAATAATTATTTCTATCGTTTGTGTCGCTTACGAAGCGCGCGGAAAATGCTCCGAATTCTCGCAGCAGTGAACGAGTTAGAGATTTCCGCTGTTCCCGGCGTTCAGACGTCGAAATTTCGAAATTCCGCGGCGACACCGGTGATCGCGGCGCATCGTGCCGGCGATCGAGAGCTGTTGCACCGACGTGCACCACCTCCTCGCGACCGATGCAGTCCGAGGCTCGTTAGTGCGCGGCCGTAAATCAAGCCGCAGGGGTGCCAACCCGCTAATATTACCGGGGTTCCCCCGGGATAGGAGGAGCACGTTCGCGCCGCCGCGCCGACGCGCACGGTAAACGTTCGATATATCTCATCGATAATGAGTTTGTTAAATGGATTAATATTCCACTTTTTCTTTTACCCTGTTCCGCCGTTTAAGCCTCGGCCCTAGCGGTCCGTGTGGCATCGGATGTTTTCATAGGTTAGAAGGGGTTTCCTCCGTCCTTTCCGCGCGGCGGCCCGCCCGCGATCGGATTCTCGAACAACGCGCTGCACGATTCAATGATTTCACTGTCTCGACGCGTTGCTTGCGACGTAACTTTCTTGAACTAACCACGGAGCAGTCGGAGTGACTTATTTTTAAATACTGATGAAAATTACAATACATTCCTCGAGAGTTCACCTTATTCTCGTATCAGTAGAAATGCACAATTGTATCCCCCAACTTTTGCAAAAGCATAATTTAACCCTTTGCACTCGAGAGGTGACTCTCACCACTCGATTTCATCCAGTGAAACTACAAAATTTGATATTTAATATTATACTCCGTATAACGCATCGATTAGAGAAATATTGAAATAAAATGGCTTCGTTCCTCTTCGAGTTAGTTTCACAAAATATGACCTTTATCTCTTTGCGCTCGAGAGGTGACTCTCACCACTCGATTTCATCCAGAAAACTTCAAAATTTGATATTTAATGTTATACCCCGTATAACGCATCGATTAGAGAAATATTGAAATAAAATAGTTTCGTTCCTCTTCGAGTTAGTTTCACACACTATCATCTCATCAGAAAACGTTCAAACATTTCCAGTGAACAACTTCCGAATGCAACGGATCAAATACTCGCAGAATGCAAATTCTGAAGCAGATCAACGCGACTCGTCCGGTACTTTCGTAATTAAAACATTCGCGGATCACCCGCGAGGAAGTCGAAAGATCGTCGAGCGGCACCAACGATCTGCGATCCGATAATCCGAAGCAGTTGAACCGCAGGAAAGGGAATTCGACACGACAATAATGATCGCAAACATTTGATTCCCGGTAACACGGGCATCTCCCTCGTACACGGATTCCCGGCAGCGCGATTTCACGCAGCGCATTAACCGAGCGCGTTGCACGGGAGTCCGCTGTAATTTCCGAGCGGCTCGGAACGCGCGAGCCGAACGCGTCAAGCGTTATCAAGAAAATGGGAAATGGATACTCGTTGCGCGTTCCCTTCGATTTAATATCCATCCGCGAGACGCGGCGGGACGCTGCTCGATTTTAGTGCGGTCCTAATGACGGGTTACCACCGGCGAGCGTGGTTGCCGGACTGTGATACGCGTTTAGCCGTCGATTACCCGGGAATATCGTTTCGATCCCGCGGAATCTGGTGCGCTCCTGGAGCCCCGGATAACCCGTGTATACAGCCGGATAATTAATGGAGCCGGTAATGAGCTGATTATTATTAATAATATTTAGCCGGGGTTAAGCCGGGCCGACCCCGCCGCGCTGGAGCCCGGCTGCTCGTTAATTGAATCTGCCAATCATCGTAATGAGCGTCAGCGCCGGATCCGCTGTCCGTTCTTCGTTGCCGATCTGCTCGGGGCCTCGGGAGAGCTTGATGCTCGCTCGCTCGCTCGCTCGCTCCACTCGCTCGCCTCGTTCCTTTCGAAAAACGAAATATCCGTCTTGCTTCTCTCTGCAACCTTATCCAAAGAAACGCGCGCGGCCAATTTCCTCCGGCCGACCGCCTTTCGAGAACTTGATCGATATCACGGTGCCGCGTCCCGAATCTCTTCATCCTAATTGTTTCTAGTCGTTCCCATTAATTGCGTCGGCGCGCCGTTCTGGCTTGGCATTGCTACCGAGATACGATCGAAACGTTCCTTGTTTCGATGGTTCTTTAACACGTCGAACGCCGCGTGGTTTCATAGAGCGTAGTACACAAGATGGCGGAGATATAATATTAATCGATCGAATCGCGTTATTATTGCGCGATCGTCTTGCTCAATGTCGCGTTAGGTGGCATTGTTTATAATATACTTATGTTTTCATACGATCGCCGTTTCATCGAATGAACTATAGTGATTCCATTTGGTTGAGGGTTGTCGGTGACCTGACATTTTTAATGTGTTGAGAAATCATGTAAATTCAGGAAGCTTCTTTCAATTCATACATTGATGCATCGTACAAGGTTTGATATTAAATATTCATTAATTTTATATTGAAAGAAAATAGCTTCGTTCCTTATTGAACGTGTAATTTCTCTTCGAGTTCCACGTATCGTCTTCACCTAATCAGAAAGTGTTGAAATATTTCTAGTGAAGAACTGCCGAGTGCAAAGGGTTACAGAGCCTCATCAGGAAATGTTCAAACATTTCTAGTGAAACACTTCCGAGTGCAAAGGGTTAGAAAATGATCTCACCCGCTGAGTCACGGCGACTCACCTCTCGGCCACTTCGCCTACTTTCCCTTCTCGTTTTTTCCATAAAGCAATTACTCGAAGACGGATCAGTTCGGCGACCGCGAGCCGGTCCGAACAACAGAAGCGCCGCGATAAGTCGCCGGGGGACAAGTGTTCGCTGT